TTTGTTTCCTCTTTTTGTGCACATACACGCACTCGCAGCGCAGTGGATTTTTCAACTTCATCCTCATCAGTTGTGGGCCCTGATGAAACAAACACTGACAGCCTCTTTACATTTCTAAAGGCCCCTGCAGCAGCTGGGCTAGTCTCACACACACACACATACACACACAAACACACACAGCACTACAAGATTTAACTCGGAGGCGTAGCCCGAGCTAAGGCCTACAGGAAGAGCCGACTCGGCACAAAATGGCCCTGGCCATGCTGAGCTGCGCTTCGCTGCAACTCTAGCTCACACGACTCAGCACACAATATGTGCCATGTTCTGTTAGTATCAGTCCTTGATTCATCTTATGATAAAGTTTATACTATTTAACCACATGCTTTTTCCTTTTTTTTATGTAAAAAAGAAAAAAAAAAGTGCAGATTATGAACCGACAGAAACACTTGCTAATCTGGCTCTGCATTTTACTTCAGGGGGTATTAATGTTTCTAATCATAATCATGGCCAAGCCCTGTTTGCCTTAATTATATTTTAAATCATTCTAAATTTTAATATCAGTCGCAGACAGCAAGTGTTTGTTGGGAGCACAAAGTGGGGGTGAAGGGGCAACAACTCACACTTGTGTTTCAGGGGAAATGGTTAAGCCAAGCATTTATAATTGTCTTACGCTAATTAGGAGAAGGCAGAGGGAGGGAGCAGGGCTGGAGTGATCCGTATGGGCCACAAGTTACATCTGAAAATCTGCAAAGGGACTCCTGGAACAGGAATCCACAAGCTTGATGTAAACAGAAAGCTTTTCATTTTATTTTTAGATCCATTTTGGTTTAACTCTGAGACTGAATCAACCACAGCTGCAAAAAAAAAAGAAAAAAAAAATGTCTGAAGCTTAAGAGAAAAAAAAAAGTGTCTGTTATAGAAAAGGTGACAATAGTTATTCTATTCTGGATGACGTTAAAAATGGATTTAAGTGACTCATCGTTTCCTCATACATCCGGTTTCTATTGATGAAGGGAAGATTTACACACCTGGCCCGTTTAAAAACTTGATCTTCGCTATTATTAAACCACTCCTTTAACAAACAGCAGCCAGGCTTAATTAAGGTTGAATCTCAACTATTGTGAATGAAACTGTTCAGTCGACAGCTTTAGTTCTAGCGTATCAGATGACGACACTAAAACTGATTTTTTTTTTTAAAGATCAAGCTGCTCTTATGTCAGCCTTTCCAAACATCTGTCTCCTTCAAGTCGCCCCACATTTGTGCTGCTTTCCAATAAAGGCCGATACATCAGCACATTGTGTTACTGACACCGAGGTGCTGAAAGGAAACAAAAAACATCTGGTGGCCATAAGAGGTCATGCATACAGATGTGTTAAATCCCTGTAAAAAGATAGTATTTTTTACACTTGCTTAAAAAAAAGGAACTGGTTAATTCAAACTATATGTAGGGAACTTTAAACCATCAGTTCGTTTTTTTTTTATTACTGACTATTTGGGGAGGAAAAACTGCAAAACAGTTATATGGAAAATATTACTCTGGCTGCGAGTAATATTTAAAGAAAAGGTTGCTATTTTGGGAATATCTGTTGTGATGTTTACTTTTTAGGTAGCACACGTGCAAATCTGACATTGATAATATTAGACTGTAGTTGATCTGTAGCATAAAAACCTTTCTAAAAACACGCTTTAATAAAGTCAAGGACCTATAAGCACCAATGTTGTTTACCCTGCTAAAAATCTATTGCAATTGACAAGGATTACAGTAACTGCTTTGACAAGTAGGGTTATATCGTTATTACAAAATAAAATTAATAGAATAATAATAAGATTATCTTGTGAAACTATATGCAATTTTTCCAACAACTTAATAACCGTTTCAGTCAGCATTCTTACATGATCCTTCAAGTAGATCCAAGAGTTTCCTGCAAATTTTTAAGCAGATATTATTTGTACGCATGGGCATTTTGCTGAGTTTTAAAGGACATATCGCCAACTAGTGGTGTGGCAGTGAAGTTACACCGCTACCATTTCTACCAGTGTCTTATGCACTTAGACTGGGATTAAAACAGTCAATTGTGATGTATTAAAATAGAATAAATGTTCCAGTTTTCAATGAATAACCATCTTGTGGATGGAGGCCTTACTTAAATAGCATTGAAACTAAAATGAAAAAAGAAATGGACACAACTGTCAGATGGCAGGAAAGTGCGTGCACTACATTGCTTAGTCTGTGTTGTACATTTGCATAGAGGCTGCTTCCAATAATTAAATTCCTTTGAAAAATATTGAACAGGTCCCACCAAATGTGCATAACCAAACCTGATTACGCAACTCCAGCAAAGTGTAGATTCTTCAGTAGCAGAGATGCCCGCAAAAAAAAATAATAAAATACATAAATTGTCACATTACTAATTTATAGATTTGGAGATTTTCAAACAGTTCAATCGAGCCTCCTTTGACTCAGCAATGACAGCCCAGTTACTGATATTATTGACACCTTTTTCCCCCCCTTTCAGAATGAAAGAGTTTTGCTTTACAAAACAATCAATTTGCCAATTTTAGCTGCATATTTAAAAAGAACAGCATAACAAATGGTACTGAATGCATACATACAAAAAAGTGGCCATTCCTTGTTGATAAGACACCTAAACCTTCTGTAGCCCAGGGGCAACATCCTGTTATATCTGGCCCTTTTCAGAAACACTTCAAATGACACTATATGGATGTAAATTTAGCAGGCAGCACATGCTTCTCTTACATATGAGATTGAGATAGCATGATTGCGGTTCTTTGAACAGTTTTCTGCTATCTCAGCTGTAGACACTCGGCTAAGAAAGCCCAATGAGAAGTAGAGGTTTTTAATGTCTGGAGGACAAACATTTTGGTTGCAGAAAGCCATTATTAAAATGTGGGTCTTTTTTTCCCCTTTTTTGTTTCAGATTTTACAGGGGAGTTTGTATTGCTGATACAAACATTGCAGACAGGTACTTGCTGTCTAAGTAAAAAAAAAAGGCAAACTTGTGGCAAGATACTTCCAAGCTTGCAGAAGCTCGCCAAACACAGTGCAAGAGGATGACTCTGCATTTGCAAGGAGGAAGACACAATATTAGACCCCAGATTTCAATCAAGAAGAAATGGGGATTACATATGGGATGGGGTTAAGGCTGTTGCAGCATGCAAGCAAAGCAGGCTGCAAAAGAAGAACTTCTTAATCGAAAGTAGCAGACCTCTGTTGTGAGACATTGTTTTTCTGCTCACCCTTTTCAAGCTGGCATAACTGGGTATGGCCACTATATAAGGAATAAAAAAATGGGGTAACAATTCATACCATCTGATTTCTGTGAAGCCACCAAAAACACAGCAAAATATAAATAAAAGGAAAGCCATAGACTTTTTTGAGGAAGACTGCCCCTTGCCTTTGTAGCACAAAAGGTTGAAAAAGAAATTCAACTGTATAAGGATTATATCTCAAATTCATTCTATGGACAGCACCACCCTATAGTGGACAAAGAAGGCCACAACTTTACCTGAGGCTCATGTTTAAGCATCTTTCACAACATCCGAGTGGCTGTTTTTTAAAAGAAGAACAAACACTAAGGTCTTGTATCCTTTCTAAACAAAGATGTGCAAAACATGATGCGTTTGTGTTAAAACATTGAGCTTTTATTTTTAAAACAAGTTTTATTTGTTTGTATAAAAAGCAATATTATGATTCATTTCTATTAAGAGATTCGAATCCGTGAATGAATTGTTCTACTGCACATAGATGCAACATTGTATCCAGTCGGTCTGGTTCAAAGGAAAACAAGTGTTACAAACTTTAAATCTTCCGTTCCGGAGGGAGGGGCGCTGCAACAAAATGTCGATATATTCGCCTTTGCAACGTGGAAATCGATTAAAGGACGTTTATGTCCTAAAAGAGCAGGAAATAAGAGTAAAAAAACAGCCAACACAGGGCGGAATAGTTCCGTTTCACAGACCCCCTTCCCCATAAAAAGCAGCAGAAAGAAAATGGTCGCTTCGTGCATAAGCCTCTGCAATGCGACTGAACCGAACACAGCCTCGGTTTCTACAAAAGAACACAGCGTTCAAAGCATTTGGAGCGACTAAAGCCCAGTTTCTCGTTAAAATGTGCGGCCCAGACCCCGGTGAGCTAAGCCTGTCTCTGGGTAGCTTTACAGGGTGAAGAAAAATGGAGTAGTGCTGCTGCAATATCTACTTCTCCACAGAGGTCACACAGAGAAGATGGGAGAAGAACACGGAGCATGGTAGCGTTATGGGGTTTTAAAAACCACAAAAAGCCTCACAGAGGAAATATAAGCATGGGCATTCATTCTGCTAAAGAGTTGGAAATATGCAGAATGGTATCTTTTCCTGCTGCTATGGCGGAGAAATTAAAGAGCCATAGCGAAACGTGTCGCCCCTGCAGCGGGAAAACAAGTCAATATTTTTAAAAATAATAAATAAATACATTAACTTCCAAAAATAATAAAATAAAAAATATATGTGTGTGCAATTTGCTGCAATTAGATTGTATTTAATAGGTGAATAAATCGCTGTGAAGATAGAGACGCTCCGAACATGGAAGGCTGAGCTATGGCCGACTGGTTCTTCTCCGATCAGCGAGGAGCGAACAAAAAACAGAAAAAAACGGACATGAAGCTTTATTTTTTTTTTTTATAAAACATGGTTAATTTGAAACATTTTCAAACGTTATGACAACACATAAAAGCAGGGAACCTCATTAGTAGAGAGGAAACGAATAGAAAGAGTCCACCTTAAAGCGCCGCAGAGCGCACGAAAACATGTCTGATGTCGATTAAAAACCAACTGGAGCTCTGGGACTAAATAAACAACAGTTTCGTTAAATCGCAAACGCATCACTGTTTCAACTGTTTCACACAGATGATTGGAGCCTGCAGAGACTATGATTAAAAGAGGGGAAAAAAAGTTTATGCGTTTTTACGCAGGCAAACTTGAATAGATCAGTCCTACTTACGTATTTCTTCTGGATGATATTCCTCTTGGGTCTTTCCTTGGTCATTATGCAATCCTCCTAAAGTTAAATGTTTGGTTATAAAGAGAATGGCCACATGAATTTCTATTCTTTCTCTCCGGGGCTCCACCGACTGACTATTTAAATCCCCGGCTCTGGGAGGAAAAAAAAAAAAAGAAAAAAGCTGGCTTTTGCAGAATCCTTCCTTTTCCTTATAGGTTTATGTATAAATCCAAAGATTCAAGCGTCTGCGAATAGCATGGGTGCAGGACTGTAGCCGATGTCATTCAGAGAGAACATACTCTTCACAAAAAAAAGAAAAGGAGGCAATTAAAAAAGCAACCAAACGCGTAACAATAAGTTCCATTCGCCCGAATGGCTCGGCTTCTACAGATAAAAACCACTATAGGGGTTGAAATGTCGCCGAGTCACATCTTTGTTTTAAAATGTAACGGCGACCGGAGGGAGAAAATGAATAAATAAAAAAAAGAAACAAATAAAAGGCTTTTGGCGTCGCGTTTGTTTCTGAGCTGGAGCCTGCGTTGTCAAGAGAGCTCTCCAGCGGCACTGCTCTGCTGAGCGAGCTCAGCTCCTTTCTTCCAGATTTCAGCCAATAACAGCCCTCCTCCAAGCGGCAGCTTTAAAATTCTAAGAGAGTAAACTGAGGACACCACTCAGGTAGCTGCTCTGCATGCTTTTATCCCTGAACAACACGCTTTTGGTGAAATAAATAACAATTTAATAGTTTGAAATAGGCCTAAATACATTATTCTCTAGTTTTTAATCACCATGATTTGTCATATTATTATAAGACGTGTAGCATAATAAATAAGTTTGTCTAAAACTGGAAAGTTGCAGTTAAAACCCAGCTCTGTGTCTAGTAGGGGTGTAAATAATAATCGTTTTGTATCGATGCATCGATCCAAAAGCCGACGATCCGATGCATCGACACGTCCGCAAGAGAATCGATTCATGTTTTTTTTTTCCTCCGGTCTATTTTTATCCATTTGCTCCTGGGTGTAATTCCCCCTCCCGTGCTGCGGTGGCGCTAAACCTATTATGCCCTCCTACCGCTCTTCCTGGTTATACTCTTACAGCAGTTTGTTGCAGCAAGCTTGACACAGACATTTTTAAATTATGCTCAGTATTGAAGCGTGGTCTGGGCTACACGCTGTGGGTCTAGATACGGCCGAGGCGATGAGGAAGTGGGGGCGAGTTTAGTCCGACGACGGAGGGACAATGGGGCAAAAAGAGCGGAGATTCAGCTGGAAAAAGGGTCCCAGCGGTCTCGCGCACCTCGCTCTTCTAGCGGGTCGAACTTCACGAGTTGTTTTCCGCAATTTCGGTCATAAAAACAAAACAAGCCGGCCTCCTGTCTGCGGCACTGTTTGCAATCAGCTACAATCTGGGAGAGGTGCAGCGTCTCTCAAGGGGGCGGTGACGTCGACACTGGAGCCTTCTTCTTCTTCTTTTATTTAATGGCGGTTGGCAAACAACTTATAGGTGCATTACCGCCACCTTCCAGAATGGAGTATGGACCAGACAAATTATTATATTCTCCCTAAAATACCCGTTCTTCTTAGAAAATTAAAAATACTACCAAAAACTACATCCCCAGATGACCTTTGAAACAATTTCCTTATATCTAGTTTAGTTTTATTCCTGTCTAACTCTCTACGCAACATCTCTCTTTCCTGAGTATATTTATTACATTCTAAAAAAATATGTTGGACAGTTTCTCTGGAGCCGAGGTATTGCATTGAACTCATTACACTGATATTGTGCAGTATTTTTGCAGTATTTTTTGATGCAACTTTTCTACTTCTGTTATTTGCTGTTGTTTCTAAAGAAAATGCATAATGATATTACAGCTTTCATTGATTTATTTCAAACTTGAAACTTTGTTTAGCCTGTAAGGTGTAAAAAAAAAAAATAATAATAATAAAAAAAATAACCGATTAATCGATTAATCGAATCGAATCGTGGTGTATTCTTGAGTATCGAAAATAATCGAATCGTTGGTTCAGGAAATCGATACTGAATCGAATCGCCATGATGGATGTGATTTACACCCCTAGTGTCTAGCCTCCATACCACTGAAATTAGTGGGTTTACGCAGGTTTATCGAACATGGGTCAACCGGCAAACATTCGACATTTGGCTCCCTTCCATTGGCAACAAATGCTGGTTCTGACCCTGGGCAGCCTCTGCCCCCCCATTGTTAGGTGTGTGGTGACCCATCAGCTGGGTAAAGCCGTGCGTACACTGTGTGATTTCTTTTCAGTCATTGCATGCAGCTACTGCTCACACTGTACGGCCAACCGCAGGGTTTCGTCGTACAGTGAGAGCTCACAGCTCACGATTTATGTTCGGACCGACGCTCTGATGCGATTTAGGCTACCTGCTCACACTGTACGACTAAAAACCACGTCAGACTCAGCTCCGCACTGGGATGGAGCTGCTCTGACTCCTCTATCCAGAAGCCAAACCAGTAGAAGGGGAATACGAAGCCCACTGGAGTGAAACGCCGGGTTTTAGCGTTGATGATGTCACCAGTGGACTAAAATCAGGAAAGTAAACAATGGAAAGCTACACTGAAATGAGCCAGGGCGTAGTAAATAGTTTTTTTCCCCCCCTCGGAATCCCTTTTACCAGTGCTGGGCCATGTTTATCAAATGTAAGTAGATTTTTATTTTTTTTTTTGGCTTGTTAAGCTACATTCAGACCGCACGCTGCAGAAGCAGCTATTTTACATGTAAAGTCAATGGTTGACGCGCATCAAGGCCCAGCAAAAAGGTCCTTCAGCGCGTCTGAGCAGCTGAAGCAGTGCATCCAGCAACCGTGAACAGTAGCGAAAAACCACAAAGGCAACCAGACCAGAGGCTGCTGTTGAACGGGATTCCCAGTGACAGAGAACCGCAGCTGTACGGGGGGGTCTGAGCGGCTCCGACAGCTAAATGATATTTGAAGGCAGGATTGTAATCTGGATGAACTTACTGCACAGATGAAGTTTTCAGGCGGACTAAAACTACTTTTTACCCACTTATAACAGAAAATAGAGCAAAGCCGATCTCTACAACTAAACACAGAAAGGATAGGCTAGCTCCACCCAGTGAGGTTTAGATCCACTTTTCGACCACACAGCTAGAGCAGAGAGATGCTTCAGGCTCACGTCAGAACTAAACTTGTACTGGCATCAAAAATGAAGTAGCATGCGTATTTTTGCTCCTTCTGCTTCGTCCGGTCTAAATTTAGCATTAGATCAGAAGTGACTGGCGCGATGTGTTGACATCCATACGTTGTTCTCATGACCTGTTAATTTTCTCAGCAAGCTGTTTGAAGGCGTTTGTAAGATGGGTCGCTTGCGGAGTTGTTTGACACGGGTCAACATGGGTCAGTGAGCCATTACAACTGCCACTTAAAGGTACACTATGCAACCGGTGTTGATTTTCCAGCGAGGCTCCCCCCAGAGGGCGAAAGTAAAAGTGCACTGTCGTAAATATGCACAGCTGTTCTCCTGGTTTCTCCGTCAAGCCAGGCGCGGTTGTTTTGAGCTTAGCAGACCATCTGATGCGCGTGACGCGCCGCAAACGCGCTGCTGCTCAAGATGGAAAAATTGAATTTTTGCTGCTCGACGCGCCGCGTCAACCAATCAGAGAAGCTGATCTGGGAGCTGGCAGGGAGAGAGACACAGCTCTGATCAGAGCGCTATGATGACTCCTCTTAAACAGTTTATTGACGCCTAAATTAACTTGAAATGCAGAAATCTGCCGGCAGAATATGTTCGCTTTTATTATCCTGCTGCCTGCAGTTTGGATTATTTAGATGAAAAACACCTACCAGCTGCCGTGGTGAACCGCGAGGAGGCGACCCGGCCAGAGGCTGCTGATGAAGTGATTCCTACTGTCGGCGCACGGCTGGTATGTGTAAGGCAGGATGATAATCTGAATGAACTGACTGCACCGATTACGTTTTCAGGTGTATTTTCTCACTCAAAAACATATTAAAACTACTTTATTCCCACTGATCACAGCAAATATAGCTGCAAGGGAGAGAAAGGATAGTGAAGCTCCGCCCAACGCACGTCAGACACACTTTTGGACCGCGCAGCCAGAGCAGCAAAGCTGCTTCAGCCGCGCGTCAGAACTAACTGGTGCAAGCAGTAAAAATGAAGCAGCAGACGAGATTTGGCTGCGTCCGGTGTGAAAGCAGCACTGCACAAAGATCGCCACTGTGCTAGCAACGAGCATGCTTTTAACTGGGGGGTGTAGCAGTTCTCGCCGTAAAGCAAGACCGACTCTCGCGAGACTTCTGAGCCTGTGGGTGCGGGTCGGTGCTCCTGCAATTGCAAGTGCGGTATTTCCCCCACAGACCACCAGGGCGGCCGAGAATACCTTTGTTCAACCTGAAATGACTCATTTAATCATCCAAAACGTTATGGAACTAATTAACTGAAAAATGTTGCATAGTGTGCCTTTAAAGCCGATTGTTTCTGGATTTAAAAAGATTTTTCGGCCAATAGGTAAGGGGTATTCTCAATGGTTGTGTCCTTGGGCAAGACACTTTATCCGCATTGCCCAACAACGGTGGTCAGAGGCCTGCTAGTGGTTGTTTAGGGCAGCCCCACTTCTGTCGTGCCCTGGGGCGGCTGTGGTTACAGTGCAGCTTTCCACCATAAGCGTGTGAATACATGTGTGAAAAGGTGAATCATAAATTAAGTGTACAGCTCTTTGGGGGTCACTGGACTAGAGAAATCTCTTTACAAATAACCTTTAAAGGTACATTCACTCAAAACATGAGTGGATCCCTATGTATCATTATCCCTAGGTTAAGGCCTGTTCAGGACTGCCAAAATGACTGGCGGTGTAAAGGAAGCATTTTGAGCGATGCCAATGATGCAATTTGACAAAAAAAAGGGAAGCAGCGCTGGAAGTAGTTGGAGTAGACACATGGGAAGCTAAGAGGCAGAGCGATAAGCACATATAGGGAAGTTGCATGGTGACAGGCATAGATAGCAAAGTTGTATGACAACATGCTATGTAAAATGGCACTAGGAGTAGACGGGATTGATGCACAGATAGAGCACATGAACAATTTTGCAGTGGTTGAACAATCTGGACACCTCTGTCAATTCCCTTTGTATCCATCAGTCAGGGACTTGATGTGTCTGTGATGTAGGATGAATTTTTTTAAGTTAAAACATTTACCAGAGGTTGATTCATAACCCTGATGCAGTACAGCTGATCCTGATACTGGGTCCCTGGTCAGATGTCAGTACCAATGGAAGCAATCATTCAGCTGAAGTTCTTTAAGAATGCCTAGCCCTGCAATGATACACGTGTACTTACAAAAATGAAGCCATCATGACAAGACCAGCACCACTGGTTCAACACTCCCCCCATATTACACCTACTTGCCAAATTGGCTTTAAGACATCCTGTGGCATATCTACAGTTTGTTGATATAACCTCTAATCTGCATCTTAACACTGATGTGGGAACAAACTCTCTTATGTCTTCCTCTGACAAAGCATTGTTTAAGTGTATATAACAAACTCTTTTGTCAGTCAGGGCTCCCATT